AATAGGTACATAAAAAAAATTACATAAAATATATTTATGAGGATAGAGAAATTTGGACTAATGTCAATTTTCGATATTGATGAACTGTTACATTTAAGTTTAAATGCGTTTAATTTTTTTTTTCTTTTCTTTTTTTCCTAAGTTGTTCATCAAGCGTTTTTAAGACCATCCCCCAGTTTTGGAATCAAAATAATCCTGTTTGGATTATGACAAATGGGGGGTGGATGGAAAAATAGGTACATACAATTCTTCCTCAAATTTTTAATATTATCATTTTACCTAAAAGAATTATTATTTTTTAATGTTTTTTGCCCAAAAAAAATTATTATTAAGTTTTAAAATTGGACTAGTCAACTAATATAGGGATAAGGCTTTCAGTTATCTTATAGTGGGGTAGAGGAGGTAACACTCCCATTGAATTCATGGTTTTCAGACAGGGCTGTTAATGGGCCCGGGCTGGCCACTAGCTTTCGGGCCTGGCTTTGTTTTGGGGCCGTTCGGACCAAAGGCCTGACAGGCGGGGCTTGTATGCCATAAATATTTTTAGGCGATTCCTGACCTAGTGACCTGGCCCAAAATTTTTTGCATTAAATATTACATAATTTTTTAAAATTTTCCCTAAATTATATAAGGTCGGGACTTGCCCGATTTTGTTCGGGCTTGAGCCTTGTCATCATGAATTTGGAGCGGTCCTATACTATGTGAAAAACTAAATTTTAAGTCCTGGGCTCAAGCCTGCCTTGGAAAGTTCAAGATCGGCTCTAGCATGGGCTGACGTGGCCCGTTAACAGCCCTAGTTTTAGGACTTAGATGATCAATTTGACACAAAAATAGGACAGTATGTTCAAGTTTGGTTGGATGCAACTCTGCTATAATGAATGATTATTCACCCTATTTACCACATTGTGATTTATTTTGTTTTTTTAAAATTAGTACTCCAACACCCTTTTGACCAAATTGTGATTTACATTCCCACTGAAATCATCCTACGTATATCTCGAAAACTAACTCTTAAACTATTAAACTATTTGAAAAAACGGGTAAGCACCTGCTTTCCCCCTACACCCCCTTGATTGACTAAAGAGTTCGATCCCCAAAAAAACAAAAAAAAAGTGTACGAGGTCCCAAGTGCCCTAGTGTGTCATTGATTTTCATAGAAGAAATTGCCCTAATATATTAGTAAAATTTGTACCATAAAATTCTCTTTCGCCCTTTTGAAAAGGAAACATTGGTTTTTTTTTTCTTTTTCTTTTTTTTTAAATTCCTAAACTAAGAAATTCAAAGAGTTCAATGTCAACTACCAAACATCGTGCATCTGCACGTCGTACTTTAGTGGACCGCTACCTACTCTATTTTTTTTATTTAAAAAAAATAAAAATTTAAATTAGTCAGCCCAAATTATTCTTTCATGAAGGACCATTCCGCAGGAGCAATTGTACATTTGCTCCCTCGAGCAAAAGACCCACATTTTTCGATCCATTTTAGGATCTCTGGATGAGTAATCTCTGAAGAAAATGAAATGGATTTTGAATTATAACACATCCAAATTTGCACATCCACAAATGCGACACTCCGTTCAATCTTTGAGTGTGATTTTTTTTCAGGATTTTCCACAATATTTATTCAATTTTTGAATAATTATACAGCTGGATTTGTCGACATGGGATTACATTATGTGCTCAATCTTAGATCATGATTTTTCCAGACGCTTTCAGAGCATATATTCAATTCAGTCTTTTGGTTGATCGTTGTATTGAGTACGTTACATCTCCAAAAGTTTTAGGAAAAATTATCTAAATACCCATTATAGATGAAGTATTTAACATTTTGTCGAATTGGATCTATTCCACATCAAGACCAGGACTTTTTCTATAGATATTTCGAAATCAAACCAAATGATATATGTAAAAAGAATTAAATTGTTCATTTCTGATGGATAAATTGATAAATTTCCCAAATTTTTAAGTCCTACAAAAGAAATTTGCCTAAAGGAGTAAATGCACATTATAATTCTCGTTAGTCCCAATGATTTAACATTTTGTCGAATTGGATCTATTCCACATCAAGACCAAGACTTTTTCTATAGATATTTGGAAATCAAACCAAAAGATATTGGTAAAAATAATTAAATTGTTCATCTCTGATGGGTAAATTGATAAATTTCCCAAATTTTAAAGTCCTACAAAAAGAAATTTGCCTATAGGAGGAAATGCACATTATAATTCTGGAGGAACACATAAATTTTTTTTTTTTTTTTTCCTTTTTTTCATATTGTCCTAGTATTTGACTTCTCGCAAGTCCCAATGATTTAGCGGAGTTTGATGCAATGCTCCATTATTTTTTGTAATTTATAATTTTTAAATACCAACTTTCGTGCAAGAGCAATCTTGCCCCCAATAATTCACTTTTATATAGTGGGACAACTCTATAATGTATAAGTTTGACGTGTACAAATTCCTTTTTATTTATATACCATAAAGCTTGATTCATTGTGATGTCAATCTCACTTAACATAGGACGAAGCATGCTAGTTAGTTCATAAAAGAGTGACATTTATTATTTTACTAGTAGATTAACGTGTGTTGCACGTATAAATGTAATAAGATAGAATAATGAAAAAAACACTTCAGATAGAGAAATAAATCAATAATACATTTTAATTAAGCCGATCAATAACAAAAATAAATTAAAAAATAAAATAAATAAAATACCTGGTAAACCAATATCATTGGCTTTCATGTGGTAAGATTTGTAGTATCATCCCTTACGGAAATACGTTTTTGTGATGGCTATACATGATATTCTAATTTTCTAGTCATCAAGTAACACGCTTCTCTCGTACAATAATGTTACATATTATTAGTGTTAGCTTTATGCATATTAAAAAAGTACATCATCCTAAAATCAATCTCTCTATACAAATTATTTGTCCATACAATTCTCTCTCTATATACATTCTTTCTCTCCAAGTTTCGTTATTTCTCTCTCCTCTGCACATAAGCTTTCATCAAAATCTCTCATCTCTCCTGAAAAATGAATTTGATTTATCTAATTAGAAAGATACCATATCTTAAACTCTATTTTTTTTCTAAGACA